ACTTCATAGACCCCCCCCCGACCCCCTTTTCCCACACCAATCTTCTGTGAGTTCCCATCTCGGCAAGCCCCTGACATGCCTGCCCTTCAGCCTCGCTGTGGAATCTGCCTCAGCAGGCTCCCTAACCAAGGCCACCCCAATTCCAGGTGTGGAGGTCAGGGCCAGACCCAGAGGTCTGAGGGAAGAGGACGACAGGAAGGCACTTGCACGCAGAGCCAACGGGTGCGCTCGGAGAGATGGCCTGTCCTACCTCCCATCTGGGAGTGCCTAGCGCCAGGCTCTGGAGCTGTGTGACCTTAGGCAAGGCCCTTCCCCTCTCTGTGCCCTGGCGCCCACCTGGTGGCCTCTCGGGAAGCACCCAAGGGCCAGCACCGTCCACGTGGTGCCATGGCCTTGCTCAGAGTGTGAGCCGGTGTCCCCGCGTGTGATCACTCTAGGACAAGATCTAGAGCAGATGGTTTAAGTGAGGCAGGGGTTGAACCCAGAGTGCTTGAAAAACAATCCAAAGGGCTGATCTGACACCTACCAAAGATAGAAGGCAAAAGAGGCCGGCGTGCACTGAGCTCTTGCCACCTTCTGGCCACCTTCCAGGCATTGCAGCCCATTGCTCTCTCTACTTCCACACATCAGGCCGAACCTGTCCTCTAGGGTTTTTATGGAGGCTTCATTCCATAGGCTAGACTGATGAAAGCATTGGCCATTGGCCATTGATTGAACCTCCAGCCCCTCTCCTGTCCTCAGAAGTCATGGGTGGGACCAAAAGTTCCAACCCTCTGATCACAACGTTGGTTGTCCTGGTGACCAGCCCACATCCTCATTAACATGACAAGAGACACCTTTGTCACTCTGGACAAAGACGTGTATATGAGAAACAAGTTTTCTCATCTGAATGGCTAAATAGATATTCTTCTTACAAGTCACAACATTGCAAACATGGCTCCAGTCTCTGCTTCTGTGCTCACAGGACGCCCTCCCAGCGGTGTGTCCAAATTTCTCTCCTCTTCTCAGGATGTTTGGATCGCCTTATTGCCTCACTATTTGTCAAAGGATTGCTGGATCCTAAATTGCTTCTCAAAATATGCCTTTCTTCATGTTCAGCAACGGATCATGTGGAACACTTGGGCTCCCCATGTGAATTAGCTATTATAATACCTTGCTCATGTTCATCTGTCCAGAGTTTGCAGTTACATTTACAAGCAGCTTTGCTGTTAGTGACCTTCAAGCTTGAAGTTAGTCCTCTTGACTTTAGGTGTCATTGAAAAGACCCCTCGATGCTTTGTTTTGGGGTTTTGGAGGCATCGGTAGGTTTAGCTTGTATTTGTAGGACCCAGGTCTCTATACATGCATTTATGTCAGGTAGATTTCTAGAAGTGTAATTGTTGGGTTAAAAGGCAAGTGCATTGAAAACCTTGATAAATAAAACCAAATTGCCGTCCAAAAAAGAAACCAGTCCCTGGATTAGGGTGCTTCCTACTGCACTGTGACTTGCTCTTAACTGCAAGGTCTGCAAAACCCTGTGTCCATATAAGCTGGCATCCACAGGTACCAGGGGCTAGAACACCAACGTATCTTTTTGGAGGACACAGTTCAACCCAGAACAGAGCAGTTTTCGTACAACAAAGCTGTGGCCTCTACTCTGAGACCAGGACAGCATTTCCTAAGTTGCTGGTGGCATCCTATAGACAGCGGCTGTGTAGGCATCACTGAGAATTCAGCGTGCATCCATCTCTGGACAAGCTTCACTGCCCTGCTGCAGCCAGGGGTCATGGGCGTGCCCTTTGTCCATCTGTCTGGTCACAGCTTGAGCGGTTCTTGTCCTTATTTGCTGAGTATTCCAGAGGAGACCCGGGACCCAGAGCCCCTGGCCCCCTGGCCTGCACTCTGGCTGCTGCAGCCCTCCCCAGACTAATTAACCAACAAATTGACGGGAGGGAGAATGTGAGCTGGGCATCTCTGTGTGCATCCTGGTGTGGGTTCAATTCTGAGATTCAGGGCCTGGCTACCACCATTCATGTTCCACAGGGTGTCAAAATGTCAAATGAGCACCTGCCCTACCCTAGGCCCGCCCTTCATTGCCACCTGACATTGGAGGGACCACGGGGCTTCCAGCTTAGGTCTGAGTCAGGGCAGAATAGGGGTGATCTGGCATGCAGAGCACTCACTGCACGCCCCGCCCCCAGTGAGGCTGCCACAAACCTGGGTGGGAGATGCCCTGGAGGGCCAGAGGAGATGGGGCTCACCTCCAGGGGGCACAGCCACTGGGGTGGACAGGTCTCTGTGGCAGCCCAGGTGTGCATGGAGAGGGGTGGCCCATGGAGAGCTCCTGGGCTTTGGGGACTTGCACCCAGTGTGGCGATCAGGGGGGGCTTCACAGAGGAGGAGCCATTTGAGATAGGTTGTCAGGGAAAAGGGATTTCACCGAGGACACAAGGGAAGGTAAGATTTACAAGGGCCCAGCAAAGCTAAATGTTCAAGGAGTGGGAAGAGCGAGGTGTTCCCAGGCCAGCTGACCCCTGTCTCTTTCCACCTGTAGCTCCGAGAAACACTGGTGCTATGACGTCATCCTGACGGCCTACAACATCATCGGCGAGAGCCCAGTAGCGCGCCCGTGGAGGTGTTCGTCGGCGAGGCTGGTAAGCTCCGGGTGCCCCCGCCTTCTGGGAGGCCTGGCCTGGCGCTCTGACGGGCTGAGCAGCGTGCCCATGTTGAGGAGCATGGTGCCTGTGCGAGGCTAGGAGGCTCCGGCGTGGGTCAGCGTGGGGAGGGGTGTCGGAAGCGCCGGCGGGCACCTGCGGGGAACACGGTGGCATCAGTGGTGTCAGCGGCGGCAGCAGTAGTGCTGGCCGTCAGTCGGAGTCAGCGTTCGGCAGCAGCGGAAGCTCCCGGCAGCAGAGGCAGCAGCCGTATGAGCAGCGGGTGGCGGCAGCGGTAGGTGCCGGGATAGTGGGCGTCGGTATGTGGCAGCGGGAGGCGGTGGAGGCAGGGGCGGCAGGAAGCGGTGAGGCACAGGCAGCTGGCGCCGCAGGCAGGCAAGAGCCGGCAAACGGCAGGCAGGCGGCAACAGGAAGCGGCCACAGCGGTGTCAGGCGGCGGTGGCAGGAAGCGGCGGAAGATACCGGAGGCAGGCGACGGGGGAAGGTGGCAGGAGGAGGGAGGCTGCAGTGGCGGCCGGCAGTGCGGCAGCCGGTTCCAGGTGCCAGCGGTAGGCAGGCGGAGGCGGCAGGTAGGAGGTAGCAGGTGCAGGCTGCAGTAAGCAGCGGCTGGCAGGCAGGCCACGGCAGGCAAGGGCCGCGGGTGGTGCCAGGATATAGCAGGGGGCGGCAGCAGGCAGTCGGCGGGGGCAGGCAGGCGGCAGACAGCAGCATTAGGCAGACGGCAGCTGTGGCAATTGGCAGGTGGCAGCGGTAGGCAGGCGGTGCCGGCAGTGGTGGGGGTAGGCAGGCAGCGTTGGCATGCATCCTCAGGGTTAGGTAGCTGGGCCCGGTGGAGCCAGGCTGCAGCAGCAGACGGCGGTGGCAGGCGGCGGCAGGATGCGGAGGCAGGCAGGCGGCCACGGATGCCAGCGGGCAGCAGGCGGCGGGCGCACGCAAGAGCGGTGGTTGGCAGAAGGCAGGTGGCGGCGGCAGGCAGAGGTAAGCGGCAGCAGGGGGCGGCAGTGGCAGACGGCAGTGGTAGTACTGACTGGTGGCGGCAGCAGGCAGGCGGTGGCAGGCGGCGGTGGCAGCACTGGTGGGCAGTGGCGGCAGGCAGCGGCATGCAGGCGGTGGCAGGCGGCAGCGCGCAGCAGGATAGGTGGCAGCGGTGACAGCACCAGCGGGTGGCGTCTGCGGCTGCAGCGGCTGCAGGGGCGGCAAGGGCTGCAGGGGCGCCAGCTTTGGGCAGCCCCGGGTCATTGGGCGGCAATGTGTGGCAGCCTCAGCAGCAGGTGCCATTGGCTTCAGCCGGAGTCACCGGTGGGGGAAGCAGGCACTGCGATAGGGGCGGGGTCAGCAGCAGGCGGGTCAGCGGCGGCAGCGTGAGTCAGCGTGGGGAGGGGCGCCGGAGGTGCCGGCGGGCATAGTCGGGTTACGCGGCGGCGTCAGCAGTAGTGCTGGCGTCAGTCGGCTTCAGCGTTGGGCAGCAGCGGAAGCTCCGGGCAGCAGAGGCAGAAGCAGGAGTATCAGCAGCGGGCGGCGGCAGCGGTAAGTGCCGTGTTAGTGGGGCCTGTCAGTATGTGGCAGCGGGAGGCGGTGGAGGCAGTGGAGGCAGGGGGCGGCAGTAAGCGGTGGGGGCAGAGAGGCAGGTAGCGTCAGGCAAGTGTGGTGGGCGGCGGCGGTAGGCGATTGCAGGCGGCGGCAGGAAGCGGTGGCAGGCTGTGGTAAGCAACGGCAAGCAGGCAGGCGGCCGCGGCAGGCACACAAGTGCGGTGGGTGGCAGAAGGCAGGTGGCGGCGGCAGACAGAGGTAAGTGGCAGCAGGGGGCGGCAGTGGCAGACGGCAGTGGTAGTACTGACTGGTGGCGGCAGCAGGCAGGCGGTGGCAGGCGGCGGTGGCAGGCAGCAGCAGGCAGGTAGTGGCAGTCGGTGACAGGTGGCAGCGGGCAGCAGCAGAGGTGGCAGCGGTGACAGCACCAGTGGGTGGCGTTGGCGGCTGCAGCGGCTGCAGGGGCGGCAAGGGCTACAGGGGCGCCAGCTTGGGGCAGCCCCGGGGCATTGGGCGGCGGTGTGTGGCAGCCTCAACAGCAGGTACCATTCACTTCAGCCGGAGTCACCGGCGGCGGAAGCAGGCGCCGCGATAGGGGCAGGGTCAGCAGCAGGCGGGTCAGCGGCGGCAGCATTGGTCAGCGTGGGGAGGGGCGCCGGAAGCGCCGGCGGGCATAGTCGGGTTACGCGGCAGCGTCAGCGGCGTCAGCGGTAGTGCTGGCGTCAGTCGGGTTCAGCGTTGGGCAGCAGCGGAAGCTCCGGGCAGCAGAGGCAGCAGCAGGAGTATCAGCAGCGGGTGGCGGCAGCGGTAGGTATCGGGTTAGTGGGGGTCAGTATGTGGCAGCGGGAGGTGTTGGAGGCAGTGGAGGCAGGGGGCGGCAGTAAGCGGTGGGGGCAGGGAGGCAGGTAGCGGCAGGCAAGTGTGGTGGGCGGCGGCGATAGGTGATTGCAGGCGGCGGCAGGAAGCGGTGGCGGGCTTGGGTAAGAAGCGGCAGGTAGGCAGGCGGCGGCGGCAGGCAGGCAAGGGCGGCGGGCGGTGGACGGAGGTAGCAGGCGGCGGCGGCGGCAGGGGGCGGGGGCAGGCAGGCTGCGGCAGGCAGGTGGCAGACAGTTGCAGGCAGCCTGCAGCACTGGGGGAACGCAGTAGCCGCAGGTGGCAACGGGCAGTGGCGGCAGGAAGCGGCGGCGGGCAGGTGGTGGGGGCAGGTAGTGGCGGCCGGCAGGCCCCGGCTAGGGGCAGGCAGGGGGCGGCGGTGGCAAGAGGTGGCAGACGGGGGCAGGCAGTGGTAAGCGGCGGGAGGAAGCGGCGGCAGGTGGCAGGGCCAGGCAGCAGCGTTAGGTAGGCGGCAACGGTAGGCATGTGGTGGCAGTGGGCTGCCGTGGCGGGTAGTGGTAAGTGGCAGCAGGCGGTGGTAGGTAAGCAGCAGCAGGCCGTGGCGGGCTGCAGGCAGCAGGGGCCAGGCAGGAAGCGGCGGCTGATAGTCGCAGCCGGCCGTAAGCGGTGGCAGAACGCGGCGGCAGGCGGCAGGGGCAGGTGGCAGGGGGAGGCGGGCCGCAGCGGCGGCAAGCAGTGAGGGCAGCAGACGGCAGCGGCGTCAGGCGGCAGCGGCAGGCGGTGGGGGCAAGCGGGCTGCAGGGGGCAGCGGCAGCAGGTGGCGGCGGTAGGCAGGCAACATTGGAAGGCATCGTCGAGGTTAGGCAGCGGAGGCGGGTGGCAGTAGCCGCAGATGGCAACAGGCGGTGGTGGCAGGAAGCAGTGGCAGGCGGGTGGCGGGGACAGGTGGTGGCCGCAGGCAGCAGTGTTAGGAAGGCGGGAATTGCAGCTGTTGTCAGGCGGCAGTAGTAGGCATGCGGTGGTGGCGGAGTGCGGTGGCGGGCGGTGGTAAGGAAGCGGCAGTGGGCTGTGGCGGGCAGTGGGCAGTGGGGGCAGACAGGCGGTGGCAGGCAACGTCGGCAGCGGGCTGCAAGCGGCCGCGGTAGGCAGGTGGTGGTGGTGGTGGCGGCAGGGTGCGGCGGTAGGCAGCGGTAAGCGGCGGCAGGGGGTGCGGGCAGGCAGGCGGAGGCAGGGAGACACAGGCAAGGATGGCGGGCGGCGGCAGGCAGGGTTGGCAGACAGGCGGTGGTGGTAGGTAGTAGCAGGCAGCCCCGGCAGGAAGCGAAGGCAGGCGGCAGTGGCAGCAGGTGGCAGCGGGGGCAGGCTGTGGTAAGCAGTGGCTGGCAGTCAGGCAGCCACAAGTAAGGGAGGCGAGCGGTGCGAGGAGGTAGCAGGCGGCGGCGGCAGGAAGCGGTGGGACGCAGGCAGCTGGGGCGGCAGGCAGGCAAGCCCCGGCAAGCGTCAGGCAGGCGGCAACAGGAAGCGGCGGCAGCGGTGTCAGGCGGCAGTGGCAGGAAGCCACAGGAGACAGCGGAGGCAGGTGGCGGGGGAAGGTGGCAGGAGGAGGCAGGCTGCAGCGGAGGCAGGCAGTGGGGGCAGTGCGCTGCTGGCGCCAGCGGTAGGCAGGTAGTGGCAGCAGGTAAGAGGTAGCAGGTGCAGGCTGCAGTAAGCAGCGGCTGGCAGGCAGGCCACGGCAGGTAAGGGCCGCGGGTGGTGCAAGGATATAGCAGGCGGCGGCAGAAGGCAGGCGGCGGGGGCAGGCAGGTGGCAGACAGCAGCATTAGGCAGGCGGCCGTTGTGGCGATTGGCAGGTGGCAGCGGTAGGCAGGCGGTGCCGGCAGCGGTTGGGGTAGGCAGGCAGCGTTGGCATGCATTCTCGGGGTTAGGTAGCTGGGCCCGGTGGAGCCAGGCTGCGGCAGCAGACGGCGGTGGCACGCAGGCGGACACGGATGCCGTCGGGCAGCAGGCTGTAGGCGCAGGCAAGGGCGGTGGGTGGCAGAAGGTAGGTGGCGGCGGCAGGCAGAGGTAAGCGGCAGCAGGGGCGGCAGTGGCAGACGGCAGGGCTAGTACTGACTGGTGGCGGCCGCAGGGAAGCGGTGGCAGGCGGCGGTGGCAGCAGTGGTGGGCAGCGGCGGCAGGCAGCAGCAGGCAGGCGGTGGCAGTCGGTGGCAGGCGGCAGCGGGCAGCAGCAGAGGTGGCAGCGGTGACAGCAACAGCAGGTGGAGTCTGCAGCTGCATCGGCTGCAGGGGCGGCAAGGGCTGCAGGGGCGCCAGCTTTGGGCAGCCCCGGGTCATTGGGCGACGGTGTGTGGCAGCCTCAGCAGCAGGTGCCATTGGCTTCAGCCGGAGTCACCGGCGGAGGAAGCAGGCGCCGCGATAGGGGCGGGGTCAGCAGCAGGCGGGTCAGCGGCGGCAGCGTGGGTCAGCGTGGGGAGGGGCGCCGGAAGCGCAGGCGGGCATCTTCGGGTTATGCGGCGGCGTCAGTGGCGTCAGTGGCGTCAGTGGCGTCAGTGGCATCAGGGGCGTCAGGGGCGGCAGCGGCGGCAGCAGTAGTGCGGGCGTCAGTCGGCTTCAGCGTTGGGGAGCAGCGGAAGCTCCGGGCAGCAGAGGCAGCAGTGGGAGTATCAGCAGCGGGCGGCGGCAGCGGTAGGTGCCGGGTTAGTGGGGGTCAGAATGTGGCAGCGGGAGGCGGTGGAGGCAGTGGAGGCAGGGGGCGGCAGTAAGCGGTGGGGGCAGGGAGGCAGGTAGCGGCAGGCAAGTGTGGTGGGCGGCGGCAGGCAGGGTTGTCAGACAGGCGCCCTCGGTAGGCGATTGCAGGCGGCGGCAGGAAGCGGTCGCAGGCTGTGGTAAGCAACGGCAGGCAGGCAGGCGGCGGCGGCAGGCAGGCAAGGGCGGCGGGCGGTGGAAGGAGATAGTAGGCGGCGGCGGCGGCAGGGGGCGGGGGCACGCAGGCTGCGGCAGGCAGTTGCAGGCAGACTGCAGCTTTGGGGGTAGGCAGTAGCCACAAGTGGCAACAGGTGGTGGCGGCAGGAAGCGGCGGCGGGCAGGTGGCGGTGGCAGTTGGCGGCGGCTTGCAGGCCACGGCTGGAGGCAGGCAGGGGGCCGTGGTGGCAAGAGGTGGCAGACGGGGGCAGGCAGTGGTAAGCGGCGGGAGGAAGCGGCGGCAGGCGGTAGGGCCAGGCAGCAGCGTTAGGTAGGCGGCAGCGGTAGGCATGTGGTGGCAGTGGGCTGCCGTGGCGCGTAGTGGTAAGTGGCAGCAGGCGGTGGTAGGCGGCGGTGGTAGGTAAGCAACAGCAGGCGGTGGCGGCCTGCAGGCCGCAGGGCCCAGGCAGGAAGCGGCGGCTGATAATCGCAGCCAGCCATAAGCGGTGGCAGAAAGCGGCGGCCAGTGGGGGCAGGTGGCAGGGGGAGGCGGGCCACAGTGGGGTCAGGCAGTGGGGGCAGCAGGCGGCATTGGCCGCAGGCAGCGGAGGCAAGCGGGCTGCAGGGGGTAGCGGCAGCAGGTGGCGGCGGTAGGTTGGCAGCGTTGGCAGGCACCGTCCAGTTTAGGCAGCGGAGGCTGGTGGCAGCAGAGGAGGTGGCAGGTGGCGGGCTGCAGGTGGCGGCGGTAGACAGTGGTAAAAGGCAGCAGGGGGTGCAGGCAGGCAGGCGGAGACAAGGGGATGCAGGCAAGGGTGGCAGGCGGCAGCGGCAGGAAGCGAAGGCGGGCAGGTGGCTGGGGCGGTAGGCAGCGGTAACTGGCAGCAGCTGGCGGGGGCAGCGGCCCGGTGGTGGTACGGGCAGGGTCAGCGCTGGGCAGCCAGCGCCAGCAAGCAGCAGGCGGCAGAAGGCGGCAGCGTGGGCCAGCCATGTCGGCAGTCAACAGCACCGTCTGCGATGGGCAGCGGGTGTCAGTGGCGGTAGCTGGGGGCAGTGGCAGTAGCTGGGGGCAGTGGCGGTATGGCTGGGAGCAGAGGGAGCCGGGGGCAGCGGCGTCCTTGGAACCCTAGCATGCTGCGGTTCTGAGGAAGACGTGCCCCTCAGCCTGGTATCTGCAGGGGACACAGGGGGCCACCCAGGACCCAGAGGCCGAGCCTGAGGCGGAGTGCCAAGTCCTGCTTCCTCCCATTGGGGAGGCCAGGTGAGTTCGGCCTCTGCCCTGGGCCTGAGCTTCAGTCTCTCCATCTGTAAAGTGGGCAGAACAGCAAAACTTTAGGGTTACGGTGCAGATTTAACGTAGGTAATGGGTTTCCTCTAGACTGGTTCAGAGTACAGGTTGTCATTCCTCTTATTCCACTTCCAGCTGTGTGACCTTGAGCAAGATAGGTAATCGCCAGGCCTCAGAATTCTCATCTGAGAGATGGGCCTGCAACGAGGACCTATATAGGCTTGTTTTGGGGATTTAGTGAAGTAGTACACAGAACCCATTTCCAAAGTCAATGTAAATCATGGTTCCTGGCACGAGATAAGTGCAGTATGAATCTTTGGGATTAAAATCACAGAAGTATTAGTTATTGTTATTGCTAGCACCGGGGAAGGAACACCGTGATTGCCATCCTCATGATTATCATCGTGAGTTAATTGAGGAGCTGCTCTGTGCCTGGCGCTGGCTAAGCATTCTACACCCTTTATCAGTTTGCACATCTCCGTGGGCTAGGATCCTGATAGGCCTCTGAGTCTTAGAGACGCAGATAGTGCTTGGAACCAGATTTCAAGCCCTTGTCATTGCAGCTCCAAAACCTGTGCTTCCAGCCTCTCCATGATTGGGGCGTATCCGAAACCCTCATGCCTCTCTGCTTGACTCTGCACCTTACAGCTTAGAATAGGGCCTAACACAGAGGAATACAGAGGGATAAGTATTCTCTATTTCTGTTACCGTCGTAGTCTTTATTCACTCGCAGTGTTTTATGGGCACAGGTGTAATGGCGTTGGTTAGTGATTCAGATCAAGAGCTGACAGACCATCCCAACTGAGAGAAATGAGACCCATTTTATGTGCTCCTCTCCCCCTAGAATGACGGTCAAGAGACAGTGATGACTCAGAGGTTGTCAGTGAGTTAAAGAAGTTGGCTGCAGCCGCAAGAGCCTGAGTAGACCGCAGCGGCGACCTTTGGTAGCATCTCAAAAGACACCTACACGATGGAACATGCCCAGGGATTTGGAAAACCGGTAAGGCACTTTCCATACACCCTGCCTTGTTCTTCCTCAACTTCTTCAGTATCTCCCAGGAACTCCCTGCTTCTTCCTGTACCCCTAAGCGGGATGCAGTGCCCACTGCTCTGGGTAGAGAGGAGCCCAGCACTTTACATGCTGTTCTGTGCACGCACTCACCAGTGTACAAAGCTCTCCTTTAGCCTCTGTGAGGAACAGGAGGGCAGTTTCCCGCACAGATTTGGGCAGGTCCCTGCACTTTCTGAGTCCCCTGAACAATGGTGTACGGCTTACCTGTTTAAATCCAGTTTTGTCTTGGAGTGTTTTACAAGACCTTTTCCTTAGGATAACTTGTAAGATCACTCTCTTTACAACTTCGAAGCTTGTAATACAGTGTTATTAACTATAGCCGCCATGTTGTACGTTACATCCTGTGACTGACTTACTTTATACCTGTAAGTTTGAACCTTTGACCCCTGTCACCCATTTCACACCCATCCCCCTGCCTGTCAACCACCAATCTGACTGCTGTATCTTTAAGCTCAGTTTTTTGGTGTTTTTAGATTCCATATAAAAGTGTTGTCATAGAGTATTTGTCTCTGACTTCTTTCAGTTAGCATCGTGCCCTCAGGGTCCATCCATGTTGTTGTAAAAAGAACGATTTCGTTTTTTGTTATGGCTAAAGAGTATTGCAGCGTCTACATACACCACATCTTCCTTATCGATTCATCCCTCCGTGGACATGTAGGTTGTCCTCCTGTCTTAGCTGTTATGAATAATGCTGCAGTGAACATGGGGGTTCAGATATCTTTTCAAATGGGTGTTTTTGTTTTCTATGGCTAAATGGCCAGGAGAAAAATTGCTGGATTGTAGGCTCGTTCTAGTTTTAATGTTTTGAGGAGCCTGCATACTCTTTTCCACAGTGGATGCACCTACCTACATTCCCACCAACAGCTCACTGGGGTTCCCTTTCGGCCACATCCTTGCTAACATGTGTTATTTCTCATCTTTTTGATACTAAGTTTTCTAACCAGTGTGAGGTGCTATCCCACTGTTGTTTTGATTTGCATTTCCCTGATGATTCATGATGTTGCGCATCTTTTCACGTCCCTGTTGGCTCTCTGGATGTCTTCTCTGGATAATGTCCATTTGGATAATCCTCCCACTTTTTAACCACTTTGTTTTTTGCTGTAGTTATTGAGTGTAGGAGTGCTTTATATGTACTGGATACTAATCTTTTTTTTTTTTTAAAGGATTTATTTATTTATTTATTTGAGAGAGAGAATGAGATAGAGAGCATGAGAGGGGGGAGGGTCAGAGGGAGAAGCAGACTCCCTGCTGAGCAGGGAGCCTGACGTGGGACTCGATCCCGGGACTCTGGGATCATGACCTAAGGCGAAGGCAGTCGCTTAACCAACTGAGCCACCCAGGCGCCCCTCCATACAAATTTTAAAGATTCTTTGCCTTATGTCTGTAAAACGTGTTTCGAATTTTGGTAAGAATTGCATTCAATCTCTAGACGGTTTTGGGTAGTATAGACATTTTAACACTTAATTCTTCTAATCCATGAGCATGGAATGTCGATTTACTTGTGTTGTCTTCCGTTTCTGTCCTTAGTGTCTTACACTTTTCAGTATATAGGCTTTCACCTCCTTGGTTAAATTTATCTTTAAGTGTTTTTTGTGGGTTTTTTTGATGCAGTTTTAAATATGATTTTTTAAATTTATTTTCCTGTTCATTATTAGTATATAAAAATGGAACATATTTTTATGTACTTTTTATCCTGCAACTTTATTGAATCTGTTTAAGTGTTTTTCATGTTGTTTTTAGGGTTTTTTTACATGTAAAATGTCATTTGAATATAGTGACCGTTACTTCTTCCTTTCCAATTTGGATGTATTTTATTTCTTTATTTTTCTTGTGTAATTGCTCTGGCTGGGATTTCCAGTAGTATAATTGACCGTTGTCCATCGTCACTTTGAATTGTGTGGTCCACTTAATACATTTTTTATTCAGTAAATACAGGCATTGCTTGTAAAGGTATTGTCCTTTTGAATTTTTTTTTCTTTTAAAATGATTATTTATATTCTACTAACTTAACATACAGTGCAATATTGGTTTCAGGAGAATTCCGTGATTCATGACTTGCTTACAACCCCTACTACT